GCGGGCCTGCAGGTGCACGGGCAGCATCGGGAGCGGCAGTACCGGAGATGGCGGCAGCAGAGGCAGAGAAGTGCGATGGAGGGGAGATGTCGTGGCAGAGAGGACCTTGGGATAGGGAGGGTTTTAGTGGGGATGCAGGTAGAGCGCCGGGCGGGAGGGGAAGAGGGAGAGGGAGAGGAGGGAGGGGAGGCAGAGGCGGCATGGGATGGCAAGCATTGGAAAGAGCGTTGAGGGAGAACGAAAAGGATGAGATATTACCTCAGGGACGGGATGTATCAGCAGCTGCTGCTGTAGGGGGGGTGACGGAGAGGAGCGGTAGGAGAGAGGCACAGCGGGAGAGGGACAGCACCTTGGTATCTGTCATTCTCAACATGCTCAGGGCCATTCAGCCGCCTCCCCCTCCCACTGCTCCCACTGGTCCCACTGGCGCTCGAGTGATGGCGGTGCAACGGAAGGGCAGAAGGGGAAGAATGGGCGTGGATGAGATGGTGGTGCTGCTGCAGCAGCAGTGGCAGAACTGGCTGGCTCGCAGCAGCAGCAGCAGCAGCAGCGCCCGTCGCAGACACGCGACGAGGAGAAGCAGAAGCAGCAAGATCTGGGACGAGGAGGGCGTGGTTATCGGAAATACTCACTGGGACGAGGAGACCACAGGCACCGGCAGCAGCAGTCACCGTGGAGTGCCTTTCCAGGCAGTGCTTAGGCCGCAAGGGAGGAGGGTGACGGCGTATCACGTGAGCGAGGTGCTCAAGGCTGTGTGGGACGCTGACGCGGGGCTGGCGTTGTTCCGGTGGGCCAAGGACGTGCAGGGAGTGACGCCCGACGCGCATGTGTACTCAAGCCTCTTTGGGCTGCTGGGGCGATTGAAGAGCGCTGAGGGACTGGAGGGGTTGGAGGGGGAGATGAAGGAGGACGGGTGCGGGGAGAACGTGATCACGCTGCAGGCCCTTGCTGCTGCGTACTCGCGTGCGGGGAAATCTGAGGAGGCACTTGCGACATTGGATGAGATAGAGGAGAAGGATGATTCACTTAGCCCATTCTCATTCGGGTATGTAAAAGGGCTGTCTGTGAGATGTCCTAGCTGCTTGCAACGTACCTTCCCTACCCCACCAGATTGGATACACTCAATTGTCCTGCCTCTTCGATAATGAGGCGCCTCAGAAACATCCTCTTTCTCTTCCTGCCCTCCCATCCAAAGCGTGCGAGTGGATGTGCTATACCGCATGGGGCGCTACCGGGACGGGATCGGTGCCTTCCACATGATTGGCACCAACTCTAAGGCCCCTCACAACTCCCTTCCCTCCCATTCCAACCACAGCGTGCGAGTGGATGTGCTATACCGCATGGGCCGCTACCGGGACGTGATCAAGACGTTCCACATAATGCGGGAGGCAGGCTATGCCCCCGACGCGTTCGTCTACAGCACCGTGCTCACGTGCTACGGCCGCCTGGGGAACGTCGTCGGAGCAGAGCTGGCGTTCAGAGAGATGCTGTCCCAGGGGATGCCCCTCAGTGTGTTCTGCGCCAACAGCCTCATGGATGGGTATGGGCGCGCAGGGCGGGTGGATGATGCCATGGCTGTGTTTGACCGCATGTGCCTCGCTGCTGTTGCTGCTAGGGGTGGTGAAGGGAGAGAAGGTGATCAGGAGGGGGTGCCTGGTGCTGCTGCTGGTGCTGGTGCTGCTGCTGTAGCTGCTGCTGCTGCTGCTGATGCGTCTGGGAGGGCTTTTCTGAACGCCTCGGGTGGCTTGAGAGTTCCTGCTTCGTCACCTGTAGCTGCAACAGCAGCAGGAGCGAGAGCTACGTGCACGAACGCTGCTGCTCAAGTGGTGACAGCTGCACCAGCACCCCATCCCGCTGCTGCCTCCACCTCCTCTCGTTCCCCTCCGTCCATCTGGCCCGGCCCTGACATAAGCACGTACAGCCTGGCAATCAACCTCCTCAGCACGGCAGGCAGGTTGTCCGAAGCAGAAGCGACGTTTGAAGCGATGATGGTGGCGGGCATAGAACCGGACATAGTAGCATGGTCCACCATGGTGCAGATGTGGGCCAAGGAGGCGAATCCTGAGCGAGCAGCGATGTGGTTTAAACGTATGGCGCTGGCGGGTTGCCGGCCGGAAACCCCGGCGTACAACTCACTTATCTGGGCGTTTGTGAGCCGTGGAATGTTTGACGAAGCTGGGGAGGTGCTGAGTGCTCTCAAACATGGGTGGGACCTGGTGGGGCTAGGGGAGGAGCAAAATGAGATGCAGACCAGTTCTGGATTTTTGGAGCCTGAAGAAGCTGGCCGGATGATGCAAACAAGCGGGAGTGAAGGCATTGCAAAGATGGCAGATACGGCATTCAATCCGGCGCCTGGCCGTGCCCCCAACCTGATGACTTACACCATGTTTCTGAGCGCATGCACCGTGTCGAACGACCGCAGCGAGGTGATGCAGCTGATGCGCCTCATGCTCGCCACAGAGCATCCCGCTCATGCTATCTTCCAACTGCTTACGGAGGATTCCTTTGGTCTGACTCCCGAGATGGTTGGGAATGTTGGGAATGGCATGAAGGGTGATGATGGGACGTGGGAAGAAAGGGAAACGGAAATTGTTGAGATTAGAAGGGGTGAGAGGGCAAGGAAGGAGGGTGGTGATTGGGAAGAGGGGAGGGAAGGAGTTGGAGGGGTAACGGTGAGGGGATTGTGGGAGAAGTGTGAGGAGTGGTGGAATGGGGTGGTGAGTGGGGAGGCAGGGAGTGGTCTGGAGGGTGAAAGTTCGAGACTAGCAAGGACAGGGGAACACGGTGACACGAGGAGATGGTGTGAGGGAGAAAGTGAGGAGGGTAGTGATAGAGAGGTGGGGAGGTGCGCAATCGCAGGGGTGCTGGAGAGGGGATTGGTTGAGATGGAGGTGAGAGAAGTGTGGAGGGAGTGTGAGGAGGAGCGGTGGAGGGAGATAGAGAGGAGGATGAGGGAAGATTCGTTTAGCAAGGCGGATATGGAGTGCCAGCGTGCCTTTGCTGACTCATCCATCTCCTTCTTGCATAAATTTGGGCGGCACGATCGGGCAGCCCGCATGTGGGACCTGTGTTACACGCAGCTGCAGCTGTACCCTAACAGTGTTCGGCTGCCCGCAATTTACGGGCGGCATGGAAGATGTTCCGTGGATCTACATGGCATGTCAGCAGGCACAGCAGTGACAGTGACCCGGTGGGCGTTGGAGAAGATGCGGCAGGCTGTTGTAGCCTCTGCTGCTTCAGGTGCTGCTTCAGGCGATTCTTCAGGTGCTTTCGATTTATCACTTGGAGTATCAGGAGAAACTGAATTCTTATCAGGGGCAGCGGATTCAGAAGAGGAATCAGAGGATGATGAAGAGGGATGCGCACCAGGTAATCAGGAGCCAGCAGAAGAATCTACAGGCGAACCTCGGCTGACATGGCGGCGGCCGGGGAAGGTGGAGGTGGTGACGGGGTGGGGCAAGCGCAGCCGGGTGCAGGGGGCGTCGCTGGTGAAGGCAGTGGTGGAGGCGCTGCTGCTGAGGGACCTCACAGCGCCCTTCTCCCTCCACCGCTTCCACCCCGGCTCCTATGAGGCCCTCGGCGCTGACCTTGAGCAATGGCTGCTCATGCCAGGTGTCGACCAGCTACTGGCTCCCCGAGACCAGGATTGATACTGGGCCCATATCAGCTACAGTAGCAACATGTAGGAGTGCTCTAGGTGCATTGCAGCAGCACCAACCTCACATGGTGTTTTGTAGAATGAATGCACACACCAACGACCTTGATCACCACTAGATCATACTATCGCATATGCTCTACTGCACCTCCGATCGAACTGCTAGTAGCTGAAGCTGACTCATGTGGAACTTGCATTATGGCAATCTAAATTTGTGGAAAGCTGAACGTGCGATGGGTTTACACAAATTGGGATGTTGTGTTTTTGTTTAAACGAATTGGGTGTACTAGTTTCTCACCAGTTTTCTTGATGCTTCTTGATCCAGACTTGCTGTTGCGAATTCTTGCTCACTACATTAGGTGGCGGGAGGCGAAGCGGCACTTGATGAGAGATCGAACGTAGTGGCTAGTGGCTAGCATGTCTCGACCTAGGTTCGTCTTCACGGTCCGTAAGAGCGTTCAAGCCGCCATAGAGGTTAACGAGTCACGCGGTCCTAAGCCGTCCATAACCGACGTTTACTCGTCACATCTCTTATCTAATCCTTCGCACCAGCCGTCGCTTGGTCTGCCTTCTCTTGCGAATTCGTCGCACGCAAGGCATCCGTCGTCATCGCCGTCGCACTGTCTGTCGCAACGGAAAGCGCAAGCAGCTTGCACCAGTCACCACGGTCCCGGCGATCCTCGTTTTGAGGCGTCTCGACACACTACTAGATGGCCATACGCGGTAGACCGTGCTTCGGAGCGTCGTCTTTGCTTCGCAGCAGCAGCGGCAGCAGCAGCACCATCGACCACACCAGCGACAGCAGCAGCAACGGCAGCAGCAGGCTCACCTGCTTCTGGACGGGTGACGGCAGCAGTGGCGCCCCTGGCACCCGCGCATCCATCCCTTCCTGCCGCACAGGCAGCACCATCAGCAGCAGCACCGTCAGCAGCAGCACCGTCAAGAGCTGCAGCAGCAACGGGCGAAGAGTGGGATGTTGAGGAGAACAATTGGGAACAGCATTCTTGGCCTGAGAAGGTTCGAACTGGTGGCGCACACAGAGAACAGGCGGGACGATGGGTAGAGAGAAGGGGAGTAGGGGGGAGAGGAGGGAGATCAGGGGAGAGACGAGCAGCAGGTGCTGCAGCAGCGAATGGGGAATGGGACAGGAGAATGGTGGCGTTCCTTCTCAGCATGTGCACATCTCTCCACCCTGCTCCACCCTCCGCAGCTTCTTCCTGTTCCGCCCCCTCTGCCTCCACCTTTCCTGTCCCTGGTCCCTCGTCTCCTCCTTCAATCCCCCCTACTGGTCCAGCGAGGGGTGGGCGAATGAGTAGAGAGGAGATGGTGGCGCTGCTGCAGCAGCATGGAGCTGCTGAGTAGTGGCAGCCGCAGGTTCGGGGCAGTGCGCGAAAGCAGCAAGGAAGGGGAAGGGCGTTGGAAACTCAGATTACAAAATGACATGAGCAGCACGGGGGTTGCCAAGCTGAAGCCGTATCATGTGAGCGAAGTGCTGAGAACACTGTTTGACGCTGACGTCGGTCTGGCGTTGTTCCGGTGGGCCAAGGACGTGCAGGGAGTGAAGCGGGACGAATTTGTGTACTCTGCCCTCTTTGGACTGCTGGGGCGGGGGAAGGATGCTGCAGGGCTGGCGAGGGCGGTGGAGGAGATGAGAGAGGACGGGTGCAGCGAAAATGCATTCACGCTGCAGGCACTCGCTGCTGCGTACGCTCGTGCTGGCAGGTTTGAGGAGGCTCTTGCGACGCTGGCGGCTTTGGAGCATGGGGGATTTTCGGCTAGTCGTCCGTCTACTGTTGGGTAGGTCTCTCTGGGCTCCCTTACCTGCTCCTCTCGCTATTTCCTACTCTGAAAATGAAATTTCCCACTTTTTTTGCACACCTCCCTTCTAGCTCCTCTCGTGTCTCTCTCTTCTCGTTCCTCCAGACCACGCCCCACGGCCACCCCTCTCCCGGCTTTCCTCAGGGCTCGAGTGGACGTGCTATTCCGCATGGGCCGGTACCACGATGTGATCAAGGCGTTCAATGCGACGCGGAGGGCAGGAGAAACACCCGACGAGTTCATTTACAATGTTGTCATCGCCTGCCACGGCCGCCTCAACAACAGCGTTGCAGCTGAGGCCGTGTTCAAGGAGATGATATCACGGGGAATGGTGCCCAGTGTAAGCTCTGTGAATACTCTCATGGAAGCGTATGGCTCGGTTGGCCGGATTGACGACGCGATGGCAGTTTTTGACCGCATGTGCCTGGCTGCTGTTGCTGCTCGGACAAATCAGGGGGGAGGAGAAGGAGGATGGCAGAAGGGTGAAGGAAACACAAGGGAAGGGGGTGGGACAGGCAGCTGTGCGCAAGTGCCGACTGCTTCTCCTGAAGTGTCTCGAAATTCAAGTGCCGTACGTCCTCCTCCGTCCATTTGGCCGGCCCCGGACATGATCACCTACAGGAGTGCGCTGAACCTGCTGGGCATAGCTGGGCGGCTGTCAGAAGCAGAGGCCACGTTTGAGGCGATGCTGGTGGCTGGAATGCACCCAGACGCCATGGCTTGGTCCACCTTGGTGCTGATGTGGGCCAGAGAGAGCAACCCCGAGCGCGCCGCCATGTGGTTCGACCGCATGCTGCTCTCCGGGTGTCAGCCCAATGCGGCGGCGTACAATGCGCTCCTGCTCGCGTTTGTGAGTGCGGAGATGTTTGACGAAGCAGAGGAGGTGCTCTCTGCGTTCAAAAACGGGTGGGATGTAGTGGGGCGGGTGGGGATAACGCCAGGAGGAGAAAAGCACACTAATCTCAGCAAACACAAGCCAGAAAAAGTCCCATGTTCCACAGGCGAAACCATGGGTGGTCATGGTTACGTCAGGCCAGGCCGGGCTTTGAACCTGGTGCGAGGGAAGGTGCTCAACCTGCCTGTTGGCGAGCGTCCTGACTTGATGACCTACACCATGCTGCTGAATGCTTGCACCACCTGCACTGCTCGCAGCGGTGTGGGCCGGTTGATGCGGCTGATGGAAGAGACGGAGCATCCCGCCCACTCCGTGTTCCAGATGCTCTTGGAGGGGTTTGAGGCGCCTCAGTCTGTGTGTCGCATGCTTATGGAGGAGGCCGTGAGTGAGGGAGTGAGTTTGGAAAGGAGTGATGGAGGAAGTGAGGGAGGAAAGGGAGAGGGTGGCTGCGGGATGACGGAGAGGGATGCTGTTGCAAGAATGATGGTGAGGGGTTTGGTGGAACAGGAGGTGAGGGAGGTGTTGGCGGAGTGGGAGGCGGAGCGGTGGCGGGAGGTAGAGAGGAGGATGAGAGGGGCTGTGTGTACCAAGGCTGATGTTCACTCCCAGCGTGGCTTTTCTGAGGCTTGCATCTCTTTCCTGCATAAATTTGGGCAACACGAACGGGCAGCTCGCATGTGGGATCTCTGCCACACGCGACTACAGCTGTTCACTAACACCGTTCGTCTGCCCGCGATTTACGGGCGGCATGGGAAATGTTTATTGGACTTACACGGCATGTCAGGAGGCACTGCATTGACCGTGACCCGGTGGGCGTTGGAGAAGATGCGGCAGGCTGTGGTGGCCTCTGCTGCCTCAGGTGCTCCATCAGGTGCTTTTGATTCACCACTGGGAATATCAAGGGAAACAGTAGCAGGAGGATCCAATCTTATGGCAGGGGCGGTGGAACCAGAAGAGGAAGCAGAGGAGGATGAAGAGGGAGCTGCAGTTGGTGAGGTCGAGCCACCAGGATCAGCTGTGGCGCAGGCGCAGAAGCAACCACTAACAGCAGCAGCAACAGCTGGTGGTGCTGCTGCTGGTGGTGGTGCTGCTGCTGGTGGTGGTGCACTATCCCGGAATGAATTACCACCCTTGCAGTGGCGGCGGCCAGGGAAGGTGGAGGTGGTGACGGGGTGGGGCAAGCGCAGCCGGGTGCAGGGGGCGTCACTGGTGAAGGCAGCGGTGGAGGCGCTGCTGCTGAGGGACCTCACAGCGCCCTTCTCCCTCCACCACTCCCATCCCGGCTCCTATGAGGCCCTCGGCATGGACCTTGAGCACTGGTTGCTCATGCCAGGTGTTGATAAGCTATTGGCTCCCCGAGATTGATGCAGTACTGTCCATCATGTATGGTAGTACAGTATCCCCGTTTTAATCTGTTAGGCGCATTGCAAAACACCATCTTCTAGCAATGAAAATATACCTGCACGAATCTTATGCTCCTCTAGTAGCTTCCCGAATCAAGCTGCTAGTACCGTAACTTGAGCAAGTCATAGTTGGATATATCAATCACTACGTCCATAGACGCCGAGTTGGGGTTCTACTTGCATGTAAGGGAGCGTGATCAAGCATGGTTGTAACACTTTACCGGTAACTCCGCCAGTTCGCCGAGTGTCCATCCTTCCCACCAGACTCAGATTCCCGCTTGACCTAATGGGCGCCTACCTTGCGGGCGAGATGTGATGCAGGACGAAGTTCCAGCACGGCTGGTGACATGCTGCGGCCTCGGTTCGTCTTCTCGGTTCGTAAGAGCGTTGAAGCAGTCTTAGCTGCCAGCGGGTATAGCGCGCCTAAACCGGCCGTAAACGACCGTTACCCGTTACAACCCCTATCTATTCCCGCGCACCTGTCCTCGCTTGAAGCGCCGTCACCTGCGAATTCGTCGCATGCACGGCTTCCGACGCAGCCGTCACTCTATCTGTCGCAACGGCACGTTGCTCCCACCAATTTTCGTTTTGAGTCGTTTCGACACGCGTACGCAGTAGACCGTGCCACAGATGGTTCTCCTGGCGCAGCAGCAGTACCGGCAGCAGCACCGCCATCAGCTGCTGCTGCTCCTGCCAGCATCCACACCAGATGCTTCACGCAGAGGGCAGAGAGACGGAGGCCCTTGGCAGCAGCAGGCGCAGCTGCTGCTGAACCGGTGACGCCAGAAGCAGCAGGAGCTCCAGAGGTGCGTATTAGAGATGGAGGAGAGGTGAGCTGGCAGGAGGAGCCTTGGTCTGAGGAAGATTGGAATGGGATGGCGAACGGGTCAACAGGAGGGAGCAGGCAGGGGAGAAGGGGAGGGGATGGAAGTGGAGGAGGGAGAGCAGAGGGTGAGAGCGGAGTAGCAGGTGTGGCAGCAGCGAGAGCAGCCGAGAAGGAGAGGAACAGGAGCATGGTGGCTTTGCTTCGCAACATGCTGACTTCCCTCCACGATTCCCCACCCCGTGCGGTTCCTCTTCCTCCTCATCCTTCGAGTTTTCCTGCTTCCCCTAGTGCCGCGTCCCCTGCTGCTACCTCTTTCGCTCCTGCTGTTCCCTCTGAGCAAGTCACTGCTCCCTTGCAGAAGAGGGTTAGAAGCAGGCCAACGGCCATGGGTGACATGGTGGCGCTGCTGCAGCAGCAGTGGATGGACCAGCAAGCAGGCAGCAGCATTAACGCCTACAGCAGAAGCACGAAGAGCAAGAACAAGAGCAGGGTGAAAGCAACAGGTTCAGTGAGCAGCAACGGGGAAGAGGAGATGAAAGCTAGACGTCCAAACAGCAGCCCACATAGCACACCCTTTCCGTTGGGCCACAACTCTCTGGGTCAGGTGACAGCCTACCATGTGACGGAGGTGTTTCGAACTCTATGGGACGCTGACGCCGGTCTCGCCTTGTTCCGGTGGGCCAAGGACGTGCAGGGGATGAAGCCGGACACGTATGTGTACTCGAGCCTCTTTGGCCTGCTGGGCAGGGCAAGGGACGCGGCGAATCTGAAGGGGATTTTGGAGGAGATGGAGGAGGACGGGTGCGAGCACAACGCCTTCACTCTGCAGGCGCTGGCTGCTGCGTATGCCCATTCTGGGAGGTTTGAGCAGGCGCTTTTACGCTGGCTGAGATGAAAGATCGAGGGTTTCCAGACAATGTTGTCACGATTGGGTGCGTGTGCGTTCGTGTGTGTGTGTGTGTGTGTGTGTGTGTGTGTGTGTGTGTGTGTGTGGGTGTGTGTGTGTGTGTGTGTGTGTGTGTTTGTGTTTGCACGGGCGCGTGTGCGTGTGCGCGTGAGTGCGTGCGTGTGCTCATTCCTGGCAGCATATGCTCTCCATCACGTGTGCTGCTGCGTTTTGTTTCCAATCCATTCTGATTGCTTTGTGCCAAAGATGCCTTCCACTCCTCCCCACCGCCACGCACCACATTCCCCTCAGGGCTCGAATCAACGTGCTGTATAAGATGGGTCGGTGCCGTGACGTGGTCAGGACATTCAGAGAGGTGCGGGATGCGGGCCACACACTGGACAGCATTATCTACAACATGGCAATCACATGCTACGGTCGCCTTAACAACACTTACGGGGCTGAGCTGGTGTTCAAGGAGATGATTTCCCGCAGAGTGCAGCCTACTGTGCGCTCTGCCAACGTCCTCATGAACATGTATGGCTCAGCTGGCAGGGTTGACGATGCCATGGCGGTCTTTGACCGCATGTGCCTCGCTGCTGTTGCTGCTGGGGCGGGTCAAGGGAGAGACGGAGGAGGAGCAGGAGCAAGTGAAGGAGAACAAACTGGTAATGGGGGAAGTTGAAGGAAGGGGAGGGAGTAGTGGGGCTGCTGGCATACCTTGTGTCTTCATTAAGATGTCCCGGAAATTACATAATTCTGTCGTCTTCTCCTGCTGCTCCTGCTATTTTTCCTTCCTCTCTGTCCTGTATTGCTGTTGCTGCTTCAGTACAGATGACCCTTCTCAAGCCCCAAATCTCCTCGGAAGCAGTAGCCGCACCAGAAGCAGCAGCAGGAGCAGCAGCAGCAAGAGGTGCACACACCAGCGCTGCTGCTTTAGCAGCAACCCCAGGGCCTCCAGCGCCGTCAGCATCTCCCACCTCGTCCTCCACCACAACCACCCCCCCGAAGCCGCCTGTCTCCATCTGGCCGGCTCCCAACCTGGTCTCCTACACTCTGGCAGTGAGCCTCCTCAGCGAGGCAGGTCGACTCTCCGAGGCAGAGGCCACGTTTGAGGCGATGCTGGTGGCGGGGATGCAGCCAGACGCCGTTGCATGGGCCACCATGGTGCTCATGTGGGCTAAAGAGAGCAACCCCCAGCGTGCAGCCTCGTGGTTCAAGCGCATGCTGCTTGCTGGGTGCCGGCCCAATGCGTCAGCGTACAATGCGCTGCTGCTCGCGTTTGTGAGTGCGGGGATGTTTGAAGAAGCAGAGGAGGTGCTTTCTGCGTTCAAGAATGGGTGGGACTTGGTGGGGCATGTGCAGGTGCTAAGAGAGGATAATTATGGTGCAGACGAGTGCACGCTCGCCCCAGCTACAGCTCCAACAAGAAGTCGGGTCAGTGGTTCCAGTCAAGCACTAAACCAGGCAGGAGGCAAGGCGCACAATGTGCTGGCTGGTGAACCTCTCAACCTGATGACGTACGTGATGCTGCTCAATGTGTGTATGGTCTCTACAGCTGGCAACACTGTGAGTTGGTTGATGCGGCTGTTGGAAGCCACAGAGCATCCCGCCCACGCTGTGCTTCAGCTGCTCATGGAAAGCCTTGAGCCACCTCGCACATTGTCCCACCTGTTTGTGGAGGAGGGCTGGAGCGAGGGAGGGAGTGAGGCTGCATATGAGGAAGTGAGTGAGAGAGTGAGTGAGGAGAGTAACTGTGGAAAGGACAGGAGGGATGATGTTGCGAGGGTAATAGCGGCTTGTTTACTGGAGATGGAGGCGAGGGAGGTGGCGAGCCCTGAACTTTCGTGCTCATTGTCCCACCTCTTTGTGGAAAAGGCTGGGAGTGAGTGGGGAATTGAGAGAAGTGAGGGACGGAATAAGGAAAGTAGTTGTGGGAAGGGCAGGGAGGATGGTGCTGCGAGGGTGATGGCGGCTTGTTTAGTGGAGGCGGAGGTGAGGGAAGTGGTGAGGGAGTGGGAGGAGGAGCGGTGGCGGGAGGTAGAGAGGAGGATGAGAGGGGATGCTATTGCCAAGACTGATGCAAATTGTCAGCGGGCGTTTTCAGAGGCATGCATTGCCTTCTTGCATAAATTTGGGCAGCACGAGCGGGCAGCCCGCATGTGGGACCTCTGCCACACGCGACTACAACTGTTCCCTAACTGTGTTCGGCTGCCTGCGATTTATGGGCGCCCTGGAAAGTGTGCATTAGACCTACATGGCATGTCAGCAGGCACAGCGGTGACAGTCACCAAGTGGGCGTTGGAGAAGATGCGGCAGGCTGTGGTGGCCTCTGCTGTCGGTCCTTCAGGTGCTGTTGATTCATCGTTGGGAGTAGCAAGGGCAACAGTTACAGGAGCCGATTCCATGCTAGCAGCAGCAGATTTAGCGGAGAATCTAGAGGATGATGAAGAGGGCGTTGCACTGGAAGATCAGGAACAATCATTCGACGACTCACAGCTGCAGTGGTGGCGGCCGGGGAAGGTGGAGGTGGTGACGGGGTGGGGCAAGCGCAGCCGGGTGCAGGGGGCGTCGCTGGTGAAGGCAGCGGTGGAGGCGCTGCTGCTGAGGGACCTCACAGCGCCCTTCTCCCTCCACCGCTTCCACCCCGGCTCCTACGAGGCCTCTGGTGCTGACCTTGAGCACTGGCTGCTCACGCCAGGTGTCGAGCAATTATTGGCTTTAAAAAATGAGGACTGAAGTGGAGCTTGAAGTTCATCAGCAAATTCACGCATGACAGATGTAATTGGTGGTGGTTGCATTCGTTGTTGCTTGCATAGGTTGCAGGGGTAGCATTCTTTGGGCGTGCCCAACCCAGCCAGCTTCAATTGCCTTGGAGCAAGAATGCAGAGCAAGTGAGGGACCTGCACATAATTGGTCCCATTGTCAGTGGACCACATAACGTTGCTCCTTGCAAAAACAAATACACCAGTGCCATTTACCACAGTTTCATGCTCAGCCAGATGTCTATAGTGGAAACTGTCTTTTCCCAATTCAGCCAATTTGTCAATCCGATGTAAGAAATCCTGTCCATTTCCTGGCCATTGTAGTACATGATGCCAGCTTGGTACCACTGCAATGCAGAAAAAAGAGTTAGGGCATGCTGCTGTGGCTTATCACCAGAACAAAACCACCAGCATTCAAAACTACTGTATCCAACCTACAGCAGAGTGAGCTATGCCATGATGCGCTTGGAGCGCACAAAGAGGCTGTCAACGACCTGGTTCATGTGCACTATGGTGTCTATGGCTGCTGGGTACAGCGCGTCCGGCACCTGTGGCTGGAACACCACTAGGTTGCCTGCTCCCTGATCCAATGTGCCCTCAAACTTGCGGTCCAGGATCATCTGAGACAGCTTCGACTCCACCTGGTAGACAGATGGGGAAAGAGGTAGAGGAGAGAGTGGTGAGAGGGAAGGGAGGAGATGAGGGGATGGAAGGCATGCACTGAAATGGAACACGAAAAGCATGATATTGACACGGGGAAGGAGAAAACATAAGGACAACTGAAACATGTTTTCACATCAGCAGGATTCACTCTCCACTCAGTAGACGCTCTTTACCTGTGAACCCTGGCAATGTGGTGACTCATCTGCACTTACCACTCCATACGATACCACACCATACATGCTATCTTCACTGGTAAAAAGGAACGACAAATCAGCTACATCTCTGGACTCAGATTCTTCCAGCACACATAATTCCTGTCCTGACCCAAATGCATACCTTTTCCAATGGCAGGCCAATGAGGGAAGAGATGTGAGCGATCTCCACACACGAGTAAGGCTCAATCAGCCTCAGCAGATTCTGCTCCAGCAGGGAGTCGTACAGCGCTGCCAGGTGGCGGCTAATGATTGGGTCGTCAGAAAGCTGGTGCTTGTAGGTTCGCAAAGCCTCCTCAAAGGATTTGAGCGACCGCTGACTGTGCGCTGTTGCAACGGTCTTCATGGCGTCCACCTCATCACCTGTGTACTTCAGAGCTGCTTTGCTGGCAATGATGCTCGCCACGTCATCTGCTTGATTCAGCATGATCTGTAAGAAAGGCATAAAGGTGGAAAGAGCCAGTAGTGGAAGAAAATTGAACAATTGACAAGAAAACTGCTTCCAATGTTGCAGTACAGAACTGCATCTTGCTGAAAAAATGCAGTTGAACATTTTAAGATAAAAATTCCCCAAAATTGCAGCCAGGCGTAGACCAGTCTCAGATTCAGCATCATCATCTTGCAAAGCAGCATGAACTCACCTTGCAGAGCAGCATGTACTTGAGGCAGGGAACGGTCTTGGGGTCGTCCAGTCCGTTGAAGCACTCAAAGGCTTCAAAGAAGTACGAGTACGCCGTCTTGTAGTCCTTCTCCTCTGCGTGCAGCACGCCTGACTGCATGTCAATCTGACCCTGCTGCGCCGGCGGCACGTAAATCGAGTTCGCCGCAGTTCGCGCCGCAGTTAACGCCGCTTTAGCCTTAGGAATGTTCCGAAGTTGATGGTGGAGTCGGCTCTCGAGGAGATCTATGTCGACCAATAGGAGCTTGTCGTCGAGCCGCCTTACCTCCCTGACAAGATTGCTAGTTAACGCCAGCGCGGTCTGGTAGTCCTTAGTCTCCATGTACAGCGCGCCAAGTCTCGCTTCGACTCGCTGACGAAGGAAGGTTCGCTTCTCCTTCTTGGTCCACTCGACCATTTCCTTGCACAAGGCGAGCTGCACATCAGTGCTGTTAGGTATCTTCGCTACTAGATCGATCACGGTACGGACAAGCTTAGCGGTCTTCGCCTTAGGAATAAGAGCGAAATAAGGACGTAAGTCAGTCAGGAGGTCACGAAGCTCCTCCGCCTTTCCTTGCTTGGAAAGAATCTCGCCGAGACTGCATACGGCGGTCTCCTTCGTCCGAAGCGCATCGGCTGAGGTGGCATCATCCTGGATAATCCCGCGATAGATCGCAGCAGCGGCCGAGGGATCGGTAGATGCGAGCTCAGAAGCACGCTCGAGGGATTCAGGCGTGGCGGGATACGACGACGAAGATGCAGCAGGCGGAGTCTCCGTGATCATTGCGTCTGCCATGGCTTCGATCAGTCGACCTTGCTACCGCAAATCCGGACTGAACGAAACGAGAATAAGCGTCGACACGCTCGAATTCCTCTTGCGAAATTCCTCAGCTTTATTCGAGGAATCTAATGCTCGAATACCAGAGTCGGTTCAGGCACGCACCGCACAGGACTACCTGATCTGACAATGGATTCAGGGAAACAAGGAATCAGTGAAATGGATTTGCTATTGAGAATCAGCAGATGATTACCGTTGTCAGAAGTGAGTGTACTTTTGCGAACTCACACGTGTTACAGCTTGAGGTTTCGTTTAGAATGGTTATGTGATGCGCGAATTTTCGACGTCAGCGAGACACCAAGTTGAGCGTGAAATCCCAAGGTCATGTTCAGAAGTTCGCTGGCGATCACAAATTTCTATCCCTGTGTGGTGGAGTTCCCAAGGCCGAATGATCAACCATGGCCCCTCCGTTCCCAATCCATCAGTAGTACGGGTGAAAGTGTGTTGTCACCTTCATCCTTCATGATTAACATTCGACTTATTCTGCGCTGGGATTCGTGGTTTCAAATTCCCTGGCAGTCGTTTATGCGGCTGTTTTGGATTCCGACGGTTCTGATTTATCGTTAGAGAGTTGTAGGCACATCAAATACGTCGACAAGCAACTCGTTCCAGCTATTGCAACCGACTGTGGACCGACTTCTATTGTCGTTTTTTTTAGAAAGTCGTTCTTATGGCGAGCTCGTCGGACTTCCGATTTTTCCTCTCGTGCGACATCAACCTACCCATACGCTTTAAAGTCGAGAGTCTTTTAGGGAACATCGACGCGAGTGCCAGCTCAGCTGGAGGTATGCAGCCGCTGCGACCCCACCACTTGTTATGAAGACCTTGTCTTGTATAATCATGCACCTCTTCTCCCGTGGCTGCTAAATTTCTCCGTTGACTGAGCCCACGGCGTTTCTCACTTCATGAGTGCAGACGCTACCTCTTGCGCTCGCGAGCACAGCTCCTCCACTGAAGCGCATGGCGGAAGGCGGCCAAGTGCAGACGACTCATGCCTCAGTGACCCGAGCTGTCAAGAGACACGTGCTCTTTGCGTGGAGTGCGAGCTATTCATTGACGGAGTGTCGTTTGGCCAACCCGTCGTCACGGGGTAATTGGCTGGTAATTAGTACGAGAAATTAACCGGTTTCTGTGAAACAGGCCCAGAGCAGGTCTCATATGCAGCTGTCACTTCCAGAGTGTGCGTGTCTGATTTTGACAAATCTCTCCATGTGCGCATATAACCCAATGACCACACTGTGAATCTTTCTTGCTTTGGCGCTGCTCGGACTGGCAGGAATGCAACATGGAGTGAGGCCGATGGTGGGAAATGGCGATGGGACGAATGGGTCCTACTGACAGCCAAGTACTGTGACATCTCTGCGTATTCCTTCATTGCTTTCACTGTAAGATTCTGTTTCCAAGCTCACCTTTCACTGCGGTTGTGTTGAGCTATTCAAGTAGTTGACTCTTCACCTATAACGACTTTATGTCCACACACCCTGAATCCCTTCTTCCTGCTGACCTCTTTACAGATCTGGGACTTGAAGTGTCAAAACAGGCCACGTGTGGTTGGTGGCACCACACTCCCACTCTTCTCCCACACCATGTCAGCCCACCCTCCCCCTTCACCCCCCTCCACCTCACCAAGATCATCGTCACCGTTTTCAACCCACACACCTCTTCCGAGCGTCCCAGACGACCTCTCTTCCTATCCTGGCGCCTGCTTTGGTGCCGATTTTGGCTCACTACCAGGCCTTACCCCAGGCTCGGGTGTTGGCCTGGCAGCAGGAGCTCAGATGCAGCATATGCTGAAAATGGGGCGGTTTAAAGCACGCGTATGGCTGGGGAAGAAGGCGGATGGAGGAGTGCCCTGCAGAACACCAGGGAAGGTAAAGAGCCAAATAGCTCCCCATTTCGTGTGGAGCATTAGCTGCTGCTCATACTAATTTCGTCTCTCGATTCTCTGTATCCTGTCCTTCCAGGTTCCTAAGGAGGAGCAAGGGGAGACTGAGAGGTTGGAGAGGTTGGTGAACCGCTATGACCGCGGCCAGATGGCAAGAGCTGATTGGCTGGATGATCTCGCCTTTGCTGCCATTGACACCATTCTCGAGGGGGAGGAGAAGGAACGCTCCAGGAAGCGGGGAAGCATGGCGGCAAGATTGGTCGTGGAGTTTCCAACGTTTGACCATCCAGTGGCGTTTCAGGTATAGAATTGGCAGGGGATGGGAAGCTTGATAGGTGGTAAATGGTTTGATGACATAAGTGATGCCAAAGACCCATTTGTAGTTTTTTGTGCTTTGCCACTTCCTTAGTGGTTCACCACTTCTTCTGGCGCTTCACCCTACTACCTAGATTTGCGTCAGCTCTTGCTATTGGTTTAATCGAATCCAGCACACTGTTGCTGGCTCTGTCGAGACAATTTCAGAACCCACAATCAGCAACACATCGCAGCCTTCACCACCACCTCTTTGCATCCTCCTCTTTGCACCCTCTCTGCCCGTCTCTTCCCTTCACTGCCGCTCCCTGCTCACTTTTACCACTCCAGGAGCTAGGCGCAGCAGGAGTGGCAGGGGTGGGCAGCGGCGGAGCAGCAGGAGGAGCCATCAGCAGCAGTGCAATCGGCACAGGGGCGGCACCAATAGGCGTGGCTCCCATCCCAGCGAGCAACGAGGTGGTGGTGCTGTGGGACCCGGAGATAGAGCAGCGAGTCAACCCGGCAGAGGCCAAGCAGCTCAAGCTCACTCGCATGCTCACCCGCGGTAACATGGAGCGGGATCTCAAGCCCAACCTCGCTGAGAGAAAGTAAGTTCTGAGAATTTCAAAAAGTACCTCAGATGAATTTCAAAAAGTACCTCAGATTTTCGCTAGAATTCTTATTAAAGCCTCCAATGTCGTGTGTGGCAGGGCCATTGCCACTATCCTGAGTTATCCACCCACCCAGTCGCTCTCCCCAGAGGACGTGCAGCTGCTGTGGCGATTCCGCTTCTCCCTCACCACCGATCGCCGCGCCCTCACTCGCTTCCTGCGCTGCGTTGACTGGAGCGATGCGGAGGTGAGCGGTATGCTTGCAGGGTTGGGGATGGGGTTGAAGTTCAGTGGCAGGTAGTGGTGCGCTAAGGGCAGTTGGCTGGGCAGCCACTCTGCAGGGGTGGGTGGGGGGAAGGTGTGCCTGGACGCATGTGAGCATGCCTGCCTGTACACACTCGTACCTCCTATGCCCGTCTTCGATCTGTCTCCTCTGAGCGCTGGCTGCTGCTGATATGCCTGTAGGACTGTGCCGATTCTGCTGACGACACTACGTGGACTCTTGTTAACACTCCTGAATGTTTCTACGTGTCTCTTTCCCGCCTCCAGGAGGCACGAGAGGGCACGGAGCTGATGTATGCATGGGCTCCCATTGACACTGCTGATGCACTCGAACTGCTCTGCCCCACGTTCTCATGTGAGGAGGTGAGTGCTTCGTCAAACATACACAACACAACCACCTCTCAGTGGAGCTGTTGTGTTTTGTATTCCTTGCACGTCTGTGTCCCATCCATGCTTCACTGTAAGCCACTCAGGCTTGTTTCCCATGCACTCCCACCCTTTGCTGCTTTCACTCATGCAACGCCCCCCGCCCTCTTCTCCACTGGTGTAGGTACGTGCATACGCGGTGACGGTGTTGGAGCGAGCAGGAGACGAGGAGCTGAAGAGCTATCTGCTGCAGCTCGTACACGCCCTCCGATACGAGCGCTCTGACTTCTCCAACCTTGCGCTCTTCCTCATCTCTCGAGGTAGGACTATTCATAACAATTTGCTTTAGGTAAGAACCTCATCCTTTCTTCTGAGTCTCTGTGGACCCAGTGTTTCAATGCCTAATCTTACCTGTTCTGCATGGGTGCCTTGTTTTCACTCATGCGCTCTGAGCTCATCCCTTCTCTGTAACTTGTTCCATCCTCCCTACAGGCTGCCATAACTTTGAGTTGGCGAATTTCCTTCACTGGTATCTGCAGGTGGAGCGCCAGGTGAGGCACCCCGTTCTGTAAACACATGAGTCAACGCTGTTTTGCGCTCTCAAGGAATGAAAGGAGGTATGTGGGCGAAATTGATGATCGAATTGGTTCCAAGACCTAGCGCTCTACCAAACCGGATGGACTTCAATCTACTTGTTGCATCCTTTGGCTGCCATGCCTTGTTCCAACTACACGTTCATGGACCATGTCTACCTTTCATTTATCCACTCCCAAATCAACCGCTCCCACTTATCTTCTCCCAAGCTGCTCAACCCATGCTGCTTCTACCACAGGACCACGTGTTTGCCTCGCGCTACGCCTTCGTGCATGATCATCTCCTTGCCACCCTGCTCGAGGTCAGCCTCCTTTCCCATGAACGTGCTTGCCATTATCCCCTTCTTTCTTCCACGCTTTGTTTCCAATGCACCCCCCCCTGCTCACACTGATGGCAGCCGTGCTAGATTATTATCATGCATGGGCCAATTCTTGCATCTCCCTCTGCTGCCTCCCCGCCTCCCACCGCAGCTGGGAGCAGAGGGAGCGAAGGTGTACGCACAGCTGATGAGGCAGTGTGAGCTGGATGCAGCACTGGCAGGCACCATGCAGGCCATCAACGTCGTGCGAGGCAGCAGCAGCTGCAGCGCTGCTCACGGCTGACACTGACGGTAGCCCTGCTAGGCTATTGTCATGCGTGGGCCAAGCCTTGCATTGCTCTCGCTTTCCACCCTCCCTCCCATCCCCATTCCGCAGTTGGGAGCAGAGGGAGCGGAGGTGCACGCGCAGCTGATGCGGCAGTGTGAGCTGGATCTAGCGCTGGCGGGCACCATGCAGGCCATCAATGCCGTGAGGGGCAGCACTGCCCGGAAGGTGGAGCAGCTGCGCGCGCTGCTCTCTGCTGACACCGACGGCAGCCTCGCTAATTTCGCTCAGGTGGGTAGCTGGGATTCAGCCCTGGCGGGCACCATGCAGGCCATCAATGCCGTGAGGGGCAGCACCGCGCTCAAGGTGGAGCAGCTGCGCTCGCTGCTCTCTGCTGACACTGACGGCAGCCTTGCCAACTTCGCTCAGGTGTGGGATGAGGCTTACCCGAGTTGGTTTTATTGTGTGCTGGCTTACGAGTGAGATGGAGTAGGTCCACTTTCACTCTCCTGCCACACCATCTTGCTCACCCCTCCACTCATTTTCTCCTCACCCAACACTCCCACAGCCTCTAGCCCTGCCAGTGGAGCCATCGATCCGGGTGGTGGGGATAGCAGCAGAGGATTCAAGTGTGTTCAAGAGCATGCTGCATCCTCTCAAGCTGGCGTTCAGGAAGGAGGATGGCGGCCTGTGCCGCGTCATTTTCAAGAAGGGAGATGACCTGAGGCAGGACCAGCTGGTGAGATGACCTGAGGAGAGTTTGACCGGTGAGAAGAAATCGCACCAACCATGGCAAGACTCTCTTAGGCTCTCATTTCCTGAAACGAACGAGCCAGCTTGTTGTCGCGGATTATGTGCCGTTCTTTTTCCTCTCCTTACCTCCCTCCCCCACTCCCTCCCTGCCTCACCACTACCTCACTCCCGCATCCCCCCTCTTGCCACATACATGGCCAAATGGGCCATGAGAGCAGGTGATTCAGATGGTGACGCTCATGGACAAGCTGCTCAAGAAGGAGAATCTCGACCTCTGCCTCACGCCCTACCGCGTGCTCGCCACCGCTGCAGACCAGGGCTTCGTCGAGTTCGTGCCCTCCATGCCCCTCGCTCAGGTCCGCCTGCCCTCCCCAGGTGCTCTCAGGTGCTCTCAGGTTAGCTCAGGTACTCTCAGGTGTTTTCAAGTGTTTGTGATTCCTTGCCTGCAAACTGCAGTCTGGAGTGTGGGCCCTAGCACCTGCTCCAGTTCCGCACCCTCCTTCCAGTCCTGATGCACCTCACAAGTAGCAATTTTTTCACCAACTCCCCCGCCCACCCTCCTCTGTACAGGTATTGGCGGAGTACCGGTCAATAGAGCGCTACCTGCACCAGTTCCACCCGGACGCCGAGTCACCCTACGGCATCACGCCCACCTGCCTCGACACCTTCATACGCAGCTGCGCTGGTTACTGTGTTACCATGTACATCCTCGGCGTGGGCGACAGGCAAGTTGCTGACACGATTCTAAAATGCCCTGGCTGTTATGTTGCCATGTATTCTCGGCATGGGCGACAGGAAAGTAGCTGCGTTAACTCAGCTGCGTTGCTAGCATGCTCAGTCGCGTTGCTAGCACGCTCAGCTGCGTTGCTAGCACGCTCAGCTGCGTTGCTAGCACGCTCTGCTGAGTTTCTAGCATGCTATGCTGCGTTGCTAGCACGATCAGCTGCGTTGCTAGCATGCTATGCTGCGCTGCTAGCACGCTCAGCGATCAGCTGCGTTGCTAGCACGATCAGCTGCGTTGCTAGCATGCTCTGCTGCGTTGCTAGCACGCTCTGCTGCGTTGCTAGCACGCTCTGCTGCGTTGCTAGCACGATCAGCTGCGTTGCTAGCACGCTCTGCTGCGTGGCTAGCACGCTCTGCTGCGTTGCTAGCACGCTCTGCTGCGTTGCTAGCACGCTCTGCTGCGTTGCTAGCACGCTCTGCTGCGTTGCTAGCACGATCAGCTGCGTTGCTAGCACGCTCTGCTGCGTGGCTAGCACGCTCTGCTGCGTTGCTAGCACGCTCTGCTGCGTTGCTAGCACGCTCTGCTGCGTTGCTAGCACGCCCAGCTGCATTGCTAGCACGCCCAGCTGCGTGGCTAGCACGCTCAGCTGCGTGGCTAGCACGCTCTGCTGCGTTGCTAGCACGCTCAGCTGCGTTGCTAGCACGCTCGGCTGCGTTGCTAGCACGCTCGGCTGCGTGGCTAGCAGGCTCTGCTGCGTTGCTAGCACGCTCAGCTGCGTCGTCTTGTGTCTGAGTAACCCTTGTCACTGTCCCTCCCCTCCCCTCCCTCCCCCCCAACCCCCTCCTTCCCCTTCCACCAGGCATCTGGACAATCTACTGCTGTGCACGGACGGGCGTCTCTTCCACATTGACTTTGGCTACATCTTTGGCCGGGACCCCAAGCCGTTCCCGCCGCCCATGAAGCTCTGCAAGGAGATGCTCGACGCCATGGGGGGTGCAAGCAGGTGAGAGAGGGTCGCAGTGGGGGGCGCGAGCAGGTGAGAGAGGGTCGCAGTGGGGGGCGCGAGCAGGTGAGAGAGGGTTGCAGTGGGGGGCGCGAGCAGGTGAGAGAGGGTTGCAGTGGGGGGCGCGAGCAGGTTAGAGAGGGTCGCCATGGGGGGCAAAGAGGGATGCTGTGGTTTGAGACGTACAGATGGGCGTGTGGGTTGCATGGGCAAGCTCTGCGAGGGGATGCTCCAAGCCATGAGGGGGGGGAGAAGGTGAGAGAGGACACAAGATGCCACCAGGATGGCACTTTTATTTCACTCTGCAGTCCACTGTACTGTCGAGTGTGCTTCTAGAAGCCCTGTCTTCACCAACCCCCCCGACTCCTTTCTCCCATCCCTGACCCAACCCCCCTGCTCCACTCACCCACTTTAACCCTGTAGCCCTTTAGCCATACTTCTGTGAGGCCTTCAGCATCCTGACAGCTACCACCCTTCTCCCTTCTGCACTCACCCACCCCCACTGCCCAACCTCCCTTCTCCCTTCTTTCAGTCCCGAGTACCTGCGCTTCCCCTCCTACTGCTGCACGGCATTCAACATCCTGCGAGCCAGCAGCCGCCTCAATCGAACAACCTCACTTCTCCTCACCCCTTCACCTCCCCTGCCCTCCCCTCCCTCCCTTTGCCCCCGTCCTCTTTCTCCGCTGCCAGTCCCGAGTACGTGCGCTTCCGCTCCTACTGCTGTGAGGCATTCAACATCCTGCGAGCCAGCAGCCGCCTCTTCCTCAACCTCTTCCACCTCATGGCGCATGCCAGCATTCCTGACATCGCCTCGCACGATCCCGACCAGCTGCTCACCAAGGTGAGTCGTAGTAGTCATAGCCTTGGTGGTGTGTGCAATCATGGCACCTCCCCTTCTCCATCTCCCCCCTTTCCCCCGCACAGTTGCAGCAGAAGTTCCGTCTTGATCTAGACTATGAGGTGGCACTGCAGCTCATCCACGCACTCTTCCTGATGCGCTCACAGGAACCACTACGCCTCCGCGCCCTCTTTTCTCCTCTCCTCCCCCCCCCCCCTACAGCTCCAGCAGAAGTTCCATCTCGATTCGTATGACGAGGCGGCAGTGCAGTTCATCCAGGAGCTCATGTCCACCTGTCCTATCCACCCGCTTACCCTCCCTCCCCCCACACCCTCCCACTTGCTGTTCCTCCCTCCCCCATTCCCTCTGCACTCCACAGTTGCAGCAGAAGTTCCGTCTCGATCTGGATGACGAGGCGGCAGTGCAGTTCATCCAGGAGCTCATCAACGAGTCGGTATCGGCGCTGCTGCCGCACATGGTGGAGACGATACATAGATGGGCGCAGTACTGGCGCTGATATCTGTACTGGCATTGAGGGAAACATGTTTCAATAATGCGAGAGATTCATCCAGGAGCTCATCAGCGAGTCGGTGTTTCCGCTGCTGCCATACATGGTGGGGACCATTTATAGATGAACACAGTACTGGCAGTGACACCTCCACTGGCGGCAAGGCAAGTGTGCTTAACCACCACTCTCCAACCAGGCGAGACTGTTAAATGCTATGGTAACCGTCCCTGCCGCTAAAAGTGGCAGAAGGAAGTAAGTGAAGGTAAGTCGTCTTCTCCACAGGTAGGCGGACTTATGTGTATCTTGTACATTAAAGTTTTCCCTGGTTTCATTAGTGTATCCCGCACTGCATTACCCTGCTCCACGGCTGTTAATACTGAATCTACAGATCATGTATCAGCCCTGATGTGATGTTACAGTATCCGATATACTAACAAATGTACAGCAGATGCAATATACACTCTGGGTTTTACTGTATCTCTACAGCTTTTCAGCCTCGTCCACCACAGCCAATCCCTCTCCATCTCTTCACACGCAACCATTGGGTCTCCACTCCATCAACCACAGCAGCCATCACGGGAGACGGGGGAGAGGTTGGCCTTGGCAGGGCCTTGAATCACCCTCCCTGACGTGTCAAACTGGGACCCATGGCACGGGCAGTCGAAAGTTTTGTCGTTGGGGTTCCACCTGACCGCGCACTTGAGGTGCGGGCAGATGGCTGGCAAAAGGAAGGGACATGGGAGGGGAGGGGAACGAGGAGTAAGATGAAGTTAGCAAAAGCCTCACCGTTTTTGCAACATCCCAAAACAAGGGCCATGTTAGTGAGTGTACGTGTCTGCTTCTCCAGAGAAGCATGCTTGGCAGAACTCCTATACTTTCTGAATCATGACTACTTTCAGCTGTGCACTGACCTGCTAACCCCCCGGTGTCTGTGTTCAGCCCTGTATTTTCACCTGAAAGAAGGAGTGTTTTGAGACGTCTCAGCTGAGAACTGCTATATTTTCACGTGGCTATATTTTCACCTGAGAACTGCTTCAGCTCGCCCCCCTCCGTGCGGTACACGGCCTGCTTGTGCAGCCCCACCGCCACCAGCGCACCCTCCCCCGGCTTCACCCTGTCCACCGAGCGCTCATCTCCCGGCACGATTGGCAAGTCAAAGGCGTAGCCCTGGTGGGACAGATGTAGTAGGGATGGAAATGGAAGGTGGTGGATTGAATGGTAGCATGGAAGTTCAGCCCTCCTCCTGTCCATCCACCGCTCATCTACCGGCACCACTGGCAGACCAAAGGCGTAGCCCTGGTGGGGTTGAAATGAAGAACGTTGTTGGGGGGTGTGGCATTACATGCGCGCGCACTGTGGGACACCTGAACCATGCTGTTGTTGGGGGGTGAACGTGGTCGGGGGGTGAACGTGGTCGGGGGGTGAACGTGGTCGGGGGGTGAACGTGGTCGGGGGGTGAACGTGGTCGGGGGGTGAACGTCGTCGGGGGGTGAACGTCGTCGGGGGGTGAACGTCGTCGGGGGGTGAACGTCGTTGGGGGGTGAACGTCGTCGGGGGGTGAACGTCGTCGGGGGGTGAACGTCGTCGGGGGGTGAACGTCGTCGGGGGGTGAACGTCGTTGGGGGGTGAACGTCGTTGGGGGGTGAACGTCGTCGGGGGGTGAACGTCGTTGGGGGGTGAACGTCGTCGGGGGGTGAACGTCGTTGGGGGGTGAACGTCGTTGGGGGGTGAACGTCGTTGGGGGGTGAACGTCGTTGGGGGGTGAACGTCGTTGGGGGGTGAACGTCGTTGGGGGGTGAACGTCGTCGGGGGGTGAACGTCGTCGGGGGGTGAACGTCGTCGGGGGGGTGAACGTCGTTGGGGGGTGAACGTCGTTGGGGGGTGAACGTCGTTGGGGGGTGAACGTCGTCGGGGGGTGAACGTCGTTGGGGGGTAAACGTCGTCGGGGGGTGAACGTCGTTGGGGGGTGAACGTGGTCGGGGGGTGAACGTGGTCGGGGGGTGAACGTGGTCGGGGGGTGAACGTGGTCGGGGGGTGAACGTGGTCGGGGGGTGGCATTCCATGCGCGCGCACTGTGGGACACGTGAGCCATGCTGCGGGTGAGGGTGTTTGATTTCATGATGTGTGATGGTGTGAGGATGTGTGATTCACACGCACTGCTGCACACCTGGGCCGTGTGGGCAGTGATGCTTGCGATGCTCGGAGCTGTCTCCAGGTAGAGCGGTGGCAGGCGGTGATATTGTGCGAGGTTCCACACACCTGGGCAGTGTGTGCCGTGATACTGGCGATGCGGGTCGTACAGCTCCTCCCACTCGCTTATGCTGCATGCTTCCACACACCTGGGCAGTGTGTGCCGTGATGCTTGCGATGCTCTGAGCTGTCTCCTGGGAGAGCGGTGGCAGGCGGCGTGGGTCGTACAGCTCCTCCCACTCACTGCGCCCCGACAGAATCAAATCTGATACCACGAGCCCGGATATGGTGCCGCCCGTCATGCCCTGCCCACTGTTGCCTGGGCAAAGGGGGAAGGGCATGGTCAGCGGGCATGGCGAGACGGGATGGTGGAAGGGCATGGTGCGAGATTGAGAGGGGTGGGTTGAGGGGAGACGAGGGCAGGGAGAGATTTGCGAGTGCAGCTGTGGACACCTTTCTGCAATCCGAAGTGAGAGACACCAGTGCAAGCATCCGTACCATACCATCACCATTTCTTGCAACAGCACCTACAGCTGTGTAATCGTCCAGCGTCCATATTGCTGCCATCTGACGCTGGACGATTACACAGCTGTCAAGTCACCTTGCAGCAGCCCTGGCTACCCAGTCTCTTCCAGCCCTTGCCTGCACAGCACATGACATCTGGCCCTGCACGTGCGACCATGCAGACGGCATCTGGATTCTGGGGCCATACCTGTGACGATGTAAATGTCCTTGGACGGTCGGTTCACGAGAGGGTTCCTGCCGTACAGCCCCAGGAGGTCCACTGGCTCGTACACCTGGCGTGCCGAGGGGGAAGGGGGAGCAGAAGAGAAGAGGCATGCAATGAGAGAGGCAGGAGAGCAGCAAGAGAAGGTTGGTGGGTTGTCATTGGGCCGCATCAGCACAGCACAGCGTCGTCTGCACTCCTCCCGCCCAGAAAGCACCCACCCAGAACCCACCTGCCCCGTCCACCTGAAGACCACTCGTCCAGCGCTCGTCCACCTCTCCCGCGCCCACTTCTCTAGGCGTGCATATGCCAGCACCCCTGTGGGGTGGTCTTCACCCCCCACTATGAGCGTGTCTGCCTCCGCCCCTTCCTCCAGGGCCAGGGCCGGGAGCAGGGGCACATCCAGAATTCTCACCTGGCCCGTCCACCTGAAAACGACTTTTCCTGCGCTCGTCCACCTCTCCCGCGCCCACTTCTCCAGCCGCGCATATGCCTGGGGATACTCCTTAGGCGCCAGCACCCCCGTGGGGTGGTCCTCACCGCCCACTATCAGCGTGTCTGTCTCCGCCTCGCTCGGGCCGGGAGCGATGCGCACGTAGTGGTAGGGCGACGCGGTGTCCCACCACTGGGCGCGCCTGGTGGGGGAGCAAGAGAGGGGGGGAAGAGCGAGAGGAGATGAAGTGTGCTGGTAGGCATGCACACATAGTGGTAGGGAGACGACTACCACACCACCATTACCCACCATTACCGCACTTAGTCCACCGCACTCCACACCTCCCAACCACTCACCGCACACTGCCCTTGGGAACAGCCAGCCCCACCACATAGGTCCGGTAGGCGCTCTGCCTGGCGTGCACCGCCAGGTTGTGGTTGATGGGCGAGTTGGTGGCCAATACGACGCTGCCAGCTGTCACGCGCACGCCCGTGTTGAGCTCGAGAGTGGTGGAGAGCGAGGAGTTGCGGATCACCCGCGTGTTCTCGTAGATCTTCCCTCCCATTGCAGTCACTGCGCTCGCTAGCCCCTGCAGGTACCTGTGGAAGAAGGCGTGGAGAGGGAGAGGCACACATGCATGCGGGAGAGAGTGGTTGCATGCATTCTTCTGACCCGCGTGTTCCCATGGATCTTCCCTCCCACGCCCGTGATCACACTTGCTAGCCCATGAAGGTACCTGAATCAGGAAATACATGGCTTAAAAGATGAAGATGCATGAGAACGTGCACGAGAACGTGCAGGAGAACGTGCAGGAGAACGTGCAGGAGAACGTGCACGAGAACGTGCAGGAGAACGTGCACGAGAACGTGCATGAGAACGTGCATGAGAACGTGCATGAGAACGTGCATGAGAACGTGCATGAGAACGTGCATCAGAGCGTGCACGAGAATGTGCACGAGAACGTGCACGAGAACGTGCACGAGAACGTGTATGAGAACGTGCACGAGAACGTGCACGAGAACGTGCACGAGAACTGTGGGAAGCGCTGCATGCATGCATGAGAAGTGCTCATGCAATCTCTTCCCCCAAGCTGATGTATGAGATTGCATGAGCAGTGAGCAGCCCTTTCAGCGATGTGGCGACCAGAGAGAGAGACAACTGCGCGGCGACCGCTTGAGCAGTCTCACTCACTTGAGCGGGTGGAAGTCAGCGGCGTTGGGGAAGCGGAGAGCAGAGGAGAGCGAGCCGAGGGCAGGGTCGCCTTGCAGGTCCACCAGAGAGGTGTCCGACAGGCCGATGCGCTCACACGCTGCCAGCTCCTGGTGAATTAGGGAGTTAGGGAGTTGGAGGAAGGAGCGGGGTCATTAGAGGAGGCGATGAAGGCTGTTTTTTTTTTGTTCTATCTCCCTGGACCATGAGGCAGATGTGCTGATGGGCCAGCCAACCACCCACTCATCAACTGCATGCAGCCATGCGCCCTGCCCACCCACCCACCCGTCCACCCACCCACCTCCAGCATATTGCGGTTCGCCTCATCGGAGTTGTCATGCGGGAAGAGGTATCCATCCACTCGCTCAAACTCGCACTCGATGCCGTGCTCCCGCACCACACGCTCCACCCAATCAATGGCGGCCACGTGGCTCCTGCCCACCAGCGCCGCCCGGCGCCGCCCGAAGAGGCGCTCGAGCACGCTGTAGTAGTCGTCGTTCCACGGCATGAGATGTGCTGTGGTGCGCCCTGTCTGGCCTGAACCTGCAAGTGAAGGGGAGGAGGAAAAAGTGTCGAACTCATGTCAAGCATATGCATCAGGCGCTCGAGCACGCTGCAGTAGTCGTCGTTCCACGGCATGAGATGCGCGGTCGTGCGGCCCGTCTGGCCCAAACCTGAAGAGATGCATGTGAGGAGTGGAGGGGGGAGAAACGATTGGACAACTCATGTCAAGTCATGGCATCAGATGCGTTGTGGTGCGCCTCGTTTGGCCCAAACCTGCAGAGGCGTGTGGGACAAGGAAGGGGGTGAAGCTGGCGCAGGCATGAAGAGTAGAAAGACGGGCCACACACATGCAAGTAGTCAGGCCAACTTTTGCACGGGATGCGCTAGGACTGACCCAAACCTGCACAAGCGCAGTGTGGCGCAGAGGAGGGCGGGTGGTGCAGCAACAAGAGAGGTGTGGTAGAGGAGTAAAAGCTAAAAGTGACGCACCAATGGCCCGTGCCTCCAGCACCACCACTGACAGGTCCTTGCCTCCTCCTCCCCCGCCCCTGGCCTTGCGGTGTTTATCCAGCAGCGCGTACGCCACGCTCAGCCCGTTGATGCCGCCACCCACCACCGCCACGTCTACAGTCACGTGTTCCTGTAACGGGGGGTACTGTGGCGCCACGCCCTCCTGCCCCCACACCGTGCGCCGCAGCCCCGTCACAGCTGGCGCGCTGGAGGATTGGAGCTGACGAGGCGGCGGGCCATTGGGCGGCTGCTGCTGCTCCTTCTGCTGCTCCTCCTGTTGCTGAATCTCCTGCTGCTGCTGCTGCTGCTGCTGCTGCTGGCTCTCCTTTTTCACATCAGAGGGAGCGCCGCCAGCAGCAGACTCCCTAGCGTCCACTGCAGCTGACACCGCCCCCTTACTGCCCTCCCCTTTCCCCTCCTCCTCATCCCCCACGTTCTCCTCCATCCTCGCAGCAGCAGCCGTGGCGGCGTACACGCTAGCAGCCTGAGCCGCAGCCTCGCCCGCCATCTCAGCTGCCAGCTCAGCCGCTGCTGCTGACGCCTCCGCCATGTCATCAGAAGCATCATCCACGTCAGATTGAGGCGTGTAATCCTCACTGCGTGCCACGTCAGCAGTTTCTTTGGCACTGTTGTCATCAGAAGCGGACGCACGCCGCCATCCCCTCAGCCAGCCCCCCCGCCCATGCATGCGCGCCGTTAACGCGTACGAGCGACGTGTTGCACGGTCCACGGGGAGGGGACGCGCGGAAGAGGGGAGCGCGCATGCGGCGGGGGTGCGCGCACGGGCGGCGGGGAGTGGCTGGGCCACAGACGGCACGCAGCCGCGGGTGGCGGTGAGAGGGGCCGATAGCAGCGCCATTGGTCACGATGAAGTGCGTTTCACGGCGTTATTCACGGCGGGGCGAGAGCAGGTTGAGGGGAAGGAGGGGCGAATTCGAGACAATGACGCGGAGGAGGGGCGAATTCGAGAAATTCACGAAAAGCTGGAGCACCGGAGCAGAGCGAGAAGCCGAGAAAAAAGAGGAGAACGGCGACGACGGTTGGTGGTCGATCGGGCAAGGCATGAGAAGAGGGCGAGGCACGAGAGGAGAGCGCGGCACGAGAGGAGAGCGCGGCACGAGAGGAGAGCGCGGCACGAGAGGGCGAGGGGAGCGAGAGGTACGGTCGATGGTGACGAGGAGGAGAAGGTGGGGCGGGGCGCGAGGAAGGGAATTTAGCGGCCATTGCTGGGCGGAGGAGATCAGGACTCGCGAGTCGCGCAGGGGCGAAGCGCGTCGATCGTTGCATGGTTGAATTGTCGTGAGAATACCACGTGTTGGCATACCCATGGGCCTGGGAGTGATCGAAGGTGGGGACAGTGAACGACATTACCCTATAGATGTTTTGCTCCTCGTAAAACAGCCGATTTAGCTCAGTGGTAGAGCGCGTGGCTTTTAACCACGTGGCCGTGGGTTCGATCCCCACAATCGGCGCGTGCCATTTTGCCTTATGGCCCCTTCCCCTATTTTACTTTCACGTTTGTTTTTCACAGTTGCCCTTTTTTTGCGCCCCATATCCGCCTCACCGCGCAGAGGTCGAATACCATCTCTCTACTCCGCCGCTCTTCAAAACCCTCCACTTCACCAAACCCTGCGCCCGCACTCGTTCCCGCTCCCCACCGCTGTTTCCCCCCCTGGTCGCTCTTTCCGCCCATCGCCCATAAGCGTAGACGTCCGCGCAAGAAGGAGGATCGGCGCGACGAGGGGCCGGGGGACGGAGGGGGGAGGAGGAGGGCCAAATTGAGCGCCGGTCGCATTCGGGATTCAAACGAGAGAGGCGGCAATGGAATCTGTGTGCTTATGACGGGGGGCTGCAATGGGGGGCGCGTATTAGGGTGACACGTGGCAGCGTTGCGATAGCATGGGGCGGCATGGCAGAAAGAAGCGCAAGGGAGGGGGTGAATGGGGGAAAGGCGCGGGGGAGGTGGTGGGCGGACGGGGTGGCGGAAGAGGCGATTGGGGAAGGGGAGGGGGGGGTGAAGCAGGGGAGGGGGCGGGGGTTGGGGGAGGGGCGGAACGGGAGAGCGGCCTGGGGGGAGGTGCGCGGGGTAGGAGCGGGGTAGATGGGGGAAGAGGGGGGGGGTGGGGTAGAGAAGAAGGATGGGGAAGAGGGGAGGGCATGGAGGGAAGGGGGAGAGGCGGCAGGTGGGAGCATGGTGGCAGGGGCTGGGGGGGAGGCGGAAGGAGAGGCGGAGGTCGAGGAAAGGGAGGAGGCGGAGGTAGGAGCGGCAGTTTTGCTGGTGCTGCTGCTGCTGCTGCTGCTGCTGCTGCTGCTGCTGCTGCTGCTGCTGCTGCTGCTGCTGCTGCTGGTGGTACCACTAGTGGCGGTGGTGAGGACAAGGCAGAAATCACCTGCCTTCCACTCGGTCAGTCACCCAGCGCCCACAGCAAGCCTTCACTTCCCCTTTCCGCTCTTTTGAACCCCACTGCAAGCCTTCTTCTCTGCTTTGCGCTCTCCTGCCCTCAATCAATCAACCCACCGCTACAGCACCGTTGTTCCTCCGTGTGCCCCCCCTTGTGTTGCGTGTGCCTGTGTTTCTGCATTGTGCCACCAGGCACGGGGCAGGACGTGGGGAAAAGCTGTGTGGTGGTGCGCGTGGGGGGCAGACTCATGTGCTCCCTTCCGTCCCTGCACCATCATTCTTCCTCCCTGCATTCCATGCGGCCATTGGTTGTTGCCAATGTGCCATCAGGAGCGGGGCAGGACGTGGGAAAGAGCTGCGTGGTGGTGCGCGTGGGGGGTCTCATGTGTTCCCTTCCCTCCCTGCAATGCACCATCTTTCTTCCTCCCTGCAATGCACCATCTTTCTTCCTCCCTACATCCCATTCGTCCATTGCTCATTCCGCACTGTGTCGCCAGGAGCGGGGCAGGACGTGGGGAAGAGCTGTGTGGTGGTGCGGGTGGGAGGTAGAGTGGTCATGTTCGACTGCGGTATGCACATGGGCTATCAGGACGCGCGCCGCTTCCCCGCCTTCCCCCGCCTGCGCGCCTTCAGCCACGGGCAGCACCCTCAGTGGCAGAGGCAGGAAGGGGAGCATGTGGACTACACGGGCATCATTGACTGCGTCATCATCACCCACTTGTGCGCTCCTCTTCTCCTCCTTCTCGCTTCATGGTCATGGGCTGGGGTCTGGGGTTGGGCAAGGGCGGGGCAGTGCGGTGGACTACACGGGGATCATTGACTGCGTCATCGTCACCCACTTGTGCGCACCTCCCTTCCCTCTCCCGCCTTGCCCCTTTCCATGCTTCTATGATCTCCTAGCGCCTTCCGTTCTTCCCCTCATCACTGCCAGCATTCATCCCTCCTGCAGCATCACCCACGCCTCTCACACTTTCCTTCGGTCTGGCTCGCTCGCCCTCCCCTCCCGTGCACCCAAGCGATCTTCTTCCAAAGTTACTTTTGAGATCGTTCAAAAGTGGCTCCCGTGGGGCTCACAACCGCCCGGTACCACACCAATCCCAGCCCCACACCCCCCATGCACCTCCTCTGCATGCAGCCATTTGGACCACTGTGGAGCGCTGCCCTATTTCACGCAAGCCTGCGGCTACCAGGGCCCCGTCTACATGACTGTCAGTGCCTTGCCTCCCGCTCTGCTACGAGTTTGTTTCAGATGTTTTGTGCTGACAGTTTTCAGTCGTTGCGAGTGCCATTGTCGTGCCTGTTTTGAGCTGATGCATGCCTTGACTGTCAGATGCATTGTCTCCCGCTCTGACAATGATTTTGTTCAGGCGCCTCATTTTCACGGTGCTAGTTCTCTAGACAAGTAGTGCTCACCACGCGTTGCATCACCTAAAAGAAACGACTGAGCACTGCTTGTCTGAGCGGACGCATACCGATGCTCGGCATGCCAGCAATCCAGAATGAAACGACAGAACAGAATCAAAGCGGGGCCTTGGGGGGTGATGGGAGCTGTTTCGTCCCCTTCACACTCAATCACCTCCTATGCAGCATTTCCCGCCTGCTCCTCCTCCCCAGTACCCCACCAAGGCGCTGGCCCCGCTGATGCTGGAGGAGTATCGGCGCGTGGCGGTGGAGCACAGGGACTGCTGCTGACTGTAATGCCTGCCCCATTGCCTCCCTCACTCTGTCCCACCTGTTGCAACCGGGTCCCCACTCCACAGTACCCCACCAAGGCCCTCGCCCCGCTGATGCTGGAGGACTATCGGCGCGTGGCGGTGGAGCGGAGGTGCTGCTGCGGGCGCTCCCATTCCTCCCCCCCACTCTCTCATGTGTCCTTGCACCTCTTTCACCACTCCCCACTCCCCAGTACCCCACCAAGGCGCTGGCCCCTCTGATGCTGGAGGACTATCGGCGCGTGGCGGTGGAGCGCAGGGGCGAGGGCGAGGAGGGGCTGTTCTCCAGTGCGGATATCACTGCGGCCGTGGGCCGAGGTGAGGGGGACGAGAAGGCAGGAGGCAGGGGATGCGGGGGGGCAGTGAGGGGCAGGTGCGGGTCCGTGAAGGGAGGTGGCCGTTGGGCGAGGTCAGGTGAGAGGGGGGAGAGCAGGGTGTGATAGGAGGTGTGGTGGGTGAGGGGATTCATCTCTCACCAGCCATCAATAACGACACCATCACATCCCGCATCTCTCCTTGGATCGGGATTAGTGGTAATCTCGTCCTACGTGCTCCCCTCCCGTGTGCTCTCTGTCCACACTGTGCAGCGATCCCGGTGGACATCCACCAGAGCATTCAAGTGAACGAGCACATCACCATCACCCCCTACTATGCCGGCCATGTCAGTGCACTCATGGGCCATGGCGTGGCATGGCATGGCCCGGGATGGAATGGCATGGCATGTGGCATGGCATGGCATGGTGTGGCGTGGCATGGATGGCATGTGGTGCTATGTGCATGAGTGCGTGGGTGCATGTAACCATGAGTATACATGTGTGGCAGCATATGCTGTGCCATTGCTGCCATGCGACACGGCACATAACTTCCACCCCCCTGCACACCGCCCTGCCTTGCCTGGCACCAGGTGCTGGGAGCAGCAATGTTCCACGTGCAAGCGAGCAATGGGGCGTCAGTGCTTTACACTGGTGAGAGCATGGCATCATGGCATTATGGCAGCACAGCATCCTGGCAGCAAGGTTCCTTCGGCCTTGCATGCACTTGTTTCAGTTCAACTCGTCTGCTCAAGCGGTTCCAACATCAGGTGATTCCAACATCAGGTGGTTCCAACATCAGGTGATTCCAACATCAGGTGGTTCCAACATCAGGTGGTTCCAACATCAGGTGGTTCCAACACGAGGTGGTGATGTGCACAAACTCACGCACAGCGTTTCAGAAGTCCTTGCTTGTTGTTCTCAGGTGATTTTAACATAGCATCCCTCAGGTGATTTCTACATGGCATCCCTCAGGTGATTTCAACATGGCACCTGACAGGCACCTGGGAGCAGCCAGGGTGGATCCGCGCCTTCGACCCGACCTCATGATCTCCGAGTGAGCACCCCAGCGCCATGCCACAATGCCATGCCATGCCTTGCCATGCCATGCCGTGCCATGCCATGCCGTGCCATGAAGTGCCGTGCCATGCGAGCATCATCCTTCCTCCTGCACTGTGCTGCCTTGCCTGTAGTTCAACATGCTTCCCCCAGTCAATTAGAAAGACAAACGCAATCCAATTCCCCCACTCCTTTCCCGCCCTCCCAACCCCCACCAGATCTACCTACGCCACGACCATCCGCGAGTCCCGGCGCAGTCGAGAAGCAGACTTCCTGTCGCGCGTGCACACATGCGTGGCAGCAGGGGGCAAGGTGCTCATCCCAGTGTTTGCCATGGGGCGAGCGCAGGAGCTGTGTGTGCTGCTGGATGAGTACTGGCACCGCATGGGGCTGGATGTACCCATCTACCTTAGTGCTGGTATGTACCCATCTACCTCAGTGCTGGTATGTACCCATCTACCTCAGTACTGGTATGTACCCATCTACCTCAGTACTGGTATGTACCCATCTACCTCAGTGCTGGTGTGCACCCATCTACCTCAGTGCTGGTGTGTACCCATCTACCTCAGTACTGGTATGTACCCATCTACCTCAGTACTGGTATGTACCCATCTACCTCAGTACTGGTATGTACCCATCTACCTCAGTACTGGTATGTACCCATCTACCTCAGTGCTGGTATGTATGCGTGCCACAGGTGGGGGGTGTGAGTGGCACTGGCAGGGAGGCAGGTGCTCATTCCAGTGTATGTTTGCCATGGGGCGAGTGCAGGAGCTGTGTGTGTTGCTGGACGAGTACTGACACCGTATGGGCCTTGAAGTGCATGTCTACCTCAGCGCTGGTAAATGCGTGTCGCAATTGAGCTACACACTTGACAGAAGCCATGCTCGTGTCAGTGCGAGCCCTGCCCTGGCCTGCCTTTTCCCCTCTCTCCTCCTCCTCACCCTCTCTCACCCTCCCCGTCGATCCCTCTCCTCCACACTCACTCCCCCTCCCCTCCACACTCACTCCCCCTCCCCTCCGCACTCACTCCCTCTCTCCTCCTCCCAGGCCTCACCTCCCAGGCCACGGTGTTCTACAAGACTTTGCTGACGTGGACCAATCAGCACATCCAATCAGCACATGCCAACCGCAACATCTTTGACTTTCGACATGGTACTTACATGCCATGACCCATGGACCATGGTACATGCATGCCATGACCCATGGTACATGCATACCATGACCCATGGACCATGGTATATGCATGCCATGACCCATGGTACATGCATGCCATGACCCATGGTACATGCATGCCATGACCCATGGTACATGCATGCCATGACTCATGGTACATGCATGCCATGACCCATGGTACATGCATGCCATGACCCATGGTACATGCATACCATGACCCATGGTACATGCATGCCATGACTCATGGTACATGCATGCCTCTACGCCATGCCATGCCAAGTCCTGTCATGCAATGCCGTGCGATGCAGGGGGTTGCATGCCGCCATGGGATGGTATACCCGTCGGTCTTGTCATTGCAAACATCGCTATAACAGGGGACCATAATGCGTGGATTTCGCTGCACTCTCCAGCACGGGATGAAACATTGTGCATACACCTGCTTTTTACGTCGTCCATAACACCCCATTTCCTCCTCCTCCTCCTCCTCCTCCTCCTCCTCCTCCTCCTCCTTCCTCCCATCTGCCCGCTCTTGCTTTCTCCCCCCCCCCCCCCCCCCCCCCCCTCTTTAACTCCCAGTGCGGCCATTCGACCGGGCCCTACTGGACGCCCCGGCGCCCATGGTGTTGTTTGCCACGCCCGGCATGCTCTCAGGGGGGCTCTCCCTGCAGGCCTTCAAGGCCTGGGCGCCCCACCCCTGCAACCTGCTCGTGCTGCCCGGGTGAGTGGGTGTGCATGGCTGGGGTGTATCCACTTTATCCAGGGTGAGAGGATATCCCGGAGATGGGAGAGGATATCCGGGAGATGATATCTTGGAGATCATACCTGGGAGATGATATCCGGGATATGATACCCAAGAGATGATATCTTGGAGATTTTTACCTGGGAGATGAGTCCATTCAGAAACTTCAATGGCGAGCTCTGCCTTCTCGAGCCCACCAGGCCGCTGCAAGTGAATCCGTCCCACTCACCTTTTAAAACCCCTGCTTCTCTCTTGACTCAACCCAGTCTCATAGCAGCACTCACTTGGCAATGCCCTTGGTCACGCCAGATACGTGCAGAGTGGAGATGCGGGCGCCCTTGGGCCAGCGAGGAAGTAAGGCCCTGTGCCTCCTGCTACAAGGAATAGAGCCTGTCGAATCCACTCTCCAGAACCTTCTTTGCTCTCGCTACTCGACCGCATCCGCCCCACACTAACTTGGCAATGCCGCCCTTAGCCACGCCATACACGTGCAGAGTGGAGATGGGGGCACCCTTCGACCACCGAAGCAAGGCCGTCTGCCCCATGCTAGATCCAATTTCAATAATCCCATTTCACTTTCTCAACTCTTCTTACCCTCTTGCTCCTCTCTCCCTCCCTCCTGCCGCCCGCGGGTCACCCTCTGCCGCCCAGGTTCTGCATGGCCGGCACAGTGGGCGGCAAGATCATGGCCATGGCCTCCGCCAATGCCTTTCTTCCTCCCTCCTGCTGCCCGCGTCTCCCCTTCTCCCTCCCAGGTTCTGCATGGCGGGCACGGTGGGCGGCAAGATCATGGCCATGGCCTCCGCCAATGCCGCCGCTGCTGGTGGTGGTGGGGGGGGTGAGGGTGGTGGGGATGGTGGAAGAGAAGGGGGAGGGGGAGGCGGAGGGAGGGTAGCCGTCGACCAGAGCACGCAAGTGGTGGTCAACTGTCAGGTGTGTTGTCAGGAGATACCAGCAGAGAAACTGATCCGGTAGGCTTATCATGAGTCTGACACCTTGACTCGGGGTTGCAGGCATTGGGGGCCCTTTTTCGTGCATATCAGAATGAAATCCGCATTGCAAGCACTGCACTCTCACCCAGGAATTCCACTGGAAACACACCCTTTTAGTTGACGCTATTCTCCATGATTACTCCCCCTCTGCGGCAGGTGCATGTGCTCTCATTCTCCCCACACACTGATGCGAAGGGCATCACCGACCTTATCCGCCACCTGGCGCCACGCCACGTCATCCTGGTGCATGGCGAGCGTGCGAAGATGGCGCAGCTACGGGACAAAATTGCCGACCAGATGGGTATCCCCTGCTTCACACCGGCCAATCACGAGACAGTTAGGGTGCCTGCGACGGTCACTCAAAATGTTACTGCTCCACCTGCAATGGTGGTTGCTGATGGCTTGACAGGGAATGGCACAATGGGGTGTGGAGGGGAGGAAGAGTTAGAGGAAGGAGATAAGGTGGGAGGAGAAAGAGGGATTGATTGAGGGGAGACCAGGAAGAGCAGAGGAGGAAGGGGAAGAGGGGGAAGATGGAGCGATAGAATTTAGTGTTAAAGGAGAAGACCTGGAGTTGTGAAGAGAGGAAAGTTGAGGCAGAAAGGATGGGAAGGAATCTGTATAGGAGTTCGGGTGGGCCTGGAAGCCAACTGTGAGATGAATGATAAGGCGTTTGATTCCACTCTGTTGTTCCCCTTGTTATCGTTACCATTTCATGGTTCTTAGTGTGTGATTTTCCGTCTATCAAGCATTGGGAGTATGATAAGTTCGATATATCAGCGGTGTACCATTTGGTCCAGAGAACCTTGAGATACTATCTTGGGCTCCTGCGTGGCGGGGTGGTCCTTGTCAATCTTCCTCGCGACCGCATCAGCGTGACATGGCCCTCCGTCCTCCCCTCGTCCGCGTCATTTCGGCGTCCCTCCTCCGTCATGTCGAATCTCCCTTCTGTCGACAAACCCAAGGCCGCCTCCTCAGCCGCAGACAGTCTAGCCGCCCGAATCCTCATGTGATTCTACAACCATTTCCCCTACACTATTTTGTTCTCATTTCAGCACCTATTCCCTGTTAGCTTCGCCATACCTCTTCCATCTGTGTCGTTGTGCAGTAGCCTAACACGCCGCGGGCTGTCTCGCTCTTCCCTTTTGTCTCTTTTAGACTCTCGTTGCGCGTGTTACCTTTTGGTCTACTTCAGAACCTTCGCGTATCTTGCGCGTCGTTCACGTCGTTCTCTTACCCCGGGCCCACCAGCGTTCCTCGACACCCTGGCTGCGCGCCATGTATTCCCGTTTAGCCTGCAGAGCAGCACGCAGGCGAGGGTTGCCGCTCGTCGACACATTTTTTAGGGTTTCGTCTCCTCCGAGCCTCGTAGATAGCATCACCACCTGCTGCCATACACAACCGCCGCATATCGCTGCGAATCTAGCCGGATCTTCCTGGTTCGGCGCGCAGCGGTGGTATTCGTCGGATCGCGGCGGCGATGGCGGCCGCGAGGAGAATGACGTGGTGATCATCGGCGGAGGGCCCGGCGGTTACGCGGCGGCGATCCGCGCGGCGCAAGTGGGGCTGAAGGTGACGTGCGTTGACAAACGCGGGCGGCTCGGAGGCACGTGCTTCAACGTCGGATGCATCCCCTCTAAGGTGTGTCTCAGTGCTGGTTGTGAGTGCCTTGAGAACGGCTGAAGGGTTTTTTGTGCGTGGAGCGTTGACCAACGTCGATTACGTGAGTGCTCGCACATACTTCAACACATCTGCTCACACGCGATTCAACACACGTAAAGAATCTGTTAGAAGAAACCGTCGGCTCCCGCCACACCCCCCTCGGCCTAACCCATTGATGCCTCCACGCTCGCACCTCGACCCCCCCTTCCAACTCCCCCCTCCCTCCCTCCAGTCCTTGCTGGAGTCATCGCGCAAGTTTTACGAAGCGAAGCACTCTCTTGCGCAGCACGGCGTGCGGGTGGACGGCGTGTCAGTAGATCTGGCGGCGATGATGGCGCTCAAGGCGGACGCCATAGAATCCCTCACGTCGGGCGTCGAGCGCATGTTCGAGCAGCACCGCGTTAACTACGTCAAGGGCGCGGGCCGCATCACAGGCACGCACGAGGTCACCGTGAGCCTCCTAGACGCGGACGGGCAGGTCGGGCAGGCGAAAAAAGTCCTCTCGGCGAAGAATATCATCATCGCGACGGGATCAGACATTCGGCAGGTGCCTGGGGTCCCGATCGACGAGAAAAAAATCGTTTCGTCGACCGGCGCTATGTGCCTTGAGAAGGTTCCGGAGAAGATGCTGGTGGTGGGCGGCGGGGTGATTGGACTGGAAATGGGGTCCGTATGGAGTCGCCTGGGCGCGGACGTGACTATACTGGAATTCGCGGATGGCATTGGCGGGTACATGGACAACGAGATTCGGCAGGAGTATCACCGCATTCTCGAATCCCAGGGGTTGAAATTCCTCCTGGGAACCAAGGTGGTGCGTGGGGACGCGTCGGGAGAAGGCGTGGTGCTGCAGGTAGCGCCGGCGAAAGGAGAGGGCGAGACGCGGGAGGTCCACGCTGACGTGGTGATGGTGGCGGCAGGGCGCGTGCCTTGCACGAACGGGCTAGGGTTGGACGAGGTGGGCGTGAAACGAGACATGAACGGGCGGATATTCGTGGATAGCCATTTCAGGAGCACGCGGCCTACTGTGTATGCCATAGGGGATGTGATTCCGGGTCCCATGCTGGCGCATAAGGCGGAGGAGGATGCTATTGCATGCGTGGAAAACATTATAAACGGGCACGGGCAGGTGAATTATGCGACGGTGCCCGGGATTATTTACACGCATCCGGAAGTGGCGATGCTGGGTATGACCGAGGAGGAGCTGCAGGCAACGGGGATGGAGTATACCGTGGGTAAATTCCCCTTTAAAGCGAACAGCCGGGCGCGGGCGATGGGGGAAGTGGAGGGGTTTGTGAAGATTCTGGCGGATAAGGCGACGGATTTGGTGCTGGGGGCGCATATACTGGGGCCGAGCGCGGGCGAGCTGATCATGGAGTGTGTTCTGGCCATGGAGCATGGGGCGACCACGCTGGATCTAGCTCGCACATGCCATGCTCACCCCACGCTCACAGAGGCTGTCAAAGAGGCCGCTTTGGCTGCCCATGGCAAACCCATTCACTCGTGAGGGAGCAGTGGAATGGGGGGGAGAGGATGGGGATGGTGGGGTGAGGGATGCGGGTGTGGAGGGTCAGGGGTATTCAGGGATGAAAAGGGGTTGGAGGTGGGTGCAGCGGGGAGGGTGGGTTGGGGAGACAGGAAGAGTGGTGTGGGTGGAGTGAGAGTGGGGAGAAGCGGATTGGAGGTGACGCGTGCATGCATTGGAGCAGGGGTGGATAACCGCCCTGACAGATGCTTGACATGGGTGATGTTGCAGCACCCATTGGCTAGATCGTAGCGTAGCGTGCTGTAGGAAATCAGTGACATGTGAACAAGGTCTGGGAAAGCATTGGAATGAGATGAAGTTTCTGGAGTGGGTAGGAGTGGCAGAAAGGCTTGCATGCCGTAGGGGAGATTGCTTTGTTTGGAGGAATGACAAGGTGAAAAGAAGGACTGGTTGGGCACTTGGGTGCTGGGGTTACTACAGCACTCTGGCCCGTGCTTTTGCTGTGAACGGCAGCAGCTTCCAGATCTGGATGTGGTGGGCTGACCTCACAGCAACATGTGTATTGATGTTAAGATAAGGAGCTTAGGGTTTAGGACTTAGGCGTAGGATGGTATCGAGAGGGAGAGAAGATTGGCCAAAGAGGGAGTTTCATTATGAGATAGGGAGTACAAATAGGAAGAAGGGGAAGGGGAAAGGGTACACCACCAGCAGTTGGTATCTAATAACTAATCTAGTACACTAGCTAACTGTAGGCAGTTTTAAGGTATGTAAATACAATTCAACACACCCCCGTAACTGTCTACGGTTTTAGCTAGTGGTGTCTGGCACCAGGTCGCCTGTAGAGCGGTTGCTGTAGCTGGGATAGGCTCAGAAACAGCGGTGGCTGAGCGGCAGCACCTGTGAACGCCAGAACGGAGGAGGGCGCGGAGAGCGCGGAGGAGGGCTGGGATAGCCGGAGGGCGAAGGATGCTGGTCGCTCGCCATCTACGAGCAAACACAACTGTTGGTGAGGAGGAGGAAGCTGGTGGTGGTGCACAGGAGGAGAGCAGAGGAGAGGCGGCTGGAGAGGAGAGTGGAGGAGGAGATGCGGCTGGAGGAGAGGGGAGTAGAGAGGAGGAGATGCGGCTGGAGGAGAAGAGGAGAGGAGAGGAGAGGAGAGGAGAAGAGGAGGAGAGGAGAGGAGAGGAGAGGAGAGGAGGTGGCTGGCGCGGTAGAAGCTTTCCCGCCACCCCCTCATTCCCCTCCCCCCCATGCGCTGGCGCTGGCGGAAGTGCTGGCGTTGGGCTCTGGCGTTGGCGCCCGCCGTTGGCGCTGGCGCGAGCGCCCGCCGTCGGCGCTGGCGTCCGCGCTGGCGCTTGCGATCGCCGTTGGCGCTGGCGCTGGCGCCCGCCGTCGCCTCGCTGGCACGCTCGCCGCTGGCAGAGCGCGACGGGGCAGGCGAAAGGGGGCAGCGCGACGGGTGCTGCAAAAGCAGCGGAGTTCGAGCCAGCAGCGGATTTCGCGCTGCTAGCAGTAGCAGCCATGCCAACAACACAATAAGTCGCCATGGCAGATCGCGGGTTTGGTGTGCCCATGAAAACGAGGTCCTAGGAGGGACCACGCTCTGATACCATGTTAAGATAAGGAGCTTAGGGTTTAGGACTTGGGCGTAGGATGATATCGAGAGGGAGAGAAGATTGGCCAAAGAGGGAGTTTCATTATGAGATTGGGAGTACAAATAGAAAGAAGGGGAAGGGGAAAGGGTACACCACCAGCAGTTGGTATCTAATAACTAATCTAGTACACTAGCTAACTGTAGGCAGTTATAAGGTATGCAAATACAATTCAACAATTGACTACCGTAGGTGCAGTGTATTGTGAAAGTGTACTTAGGCTGACTTGGAAAGGCAGCGTTATCATTTCATATGGCAAAGGCAGCGTTCTCATTTCATATGGGTAGTAGTACATCGTTCTCGTCTTATATATGTCTACATAACAGCATACACAAATGGGTGGGCGGATGGGAAAGTAGAACTACAATTTTGAAAATGAAAACGTGGGTGGGGACGAATGTCCCCACGTCCCTCTTTTGTAGGCAAAAAAGGGTGAGTAGCGCTTCGGCGCTACCTTTGCTGTGTTGGCCACGTACCCTTTTTCACAATACAAAATTTTAGAAAGTGTTACATTTCATTACACTTTAAAAAAATATCATATTGTGAAAGTGTACTTAGGCTGACTTGCAAAGGCAGCGTTATCATTTCATATGGGCTTCTGAGACAAGTGCAGTCGGGGCTGGCGGTGCCGTTCGATTGATTGCTGATGCGTAGCAGGTGAAGGAGCCGTCGAAGGATCCTGCAATTGCGTGGAGAGGGAGATGAGCTGATCTTGCGCGATTGTAACGTACATCTCCTTCGCGCTATTGCTGCCAGGCCCCAAAATGTCAGGGTAAAATACCTTGATTGCCTTGATTGGCGGCCGCTTTTTTTTTTTGTTACCCTGACCCAGTCAGGCTCCCGGATTTCTTACCCTGATTCATAAAGAGTTTGATTTTTTGTACCCTTATGAATTCCGAACTATAGATTGTTTCCCCTGACTTTCATCAGTGTTTTAATCCTGTTACACTGATACCGAGTCTTTCATAGCGGGGATATAATGGATGTTGCGCAAAATGGCACCAGCAAGTAGTGCACTACGCTTATTTCCCAATGCGAGCATCAACCTGCGACCTTTCCTCTCACAACTTCGCCTCTGACCGTGTGAAGCACTTCAACTTGCAATGTTCTTATTCGTTATAAATATGGACTCTTACACGAAATCAGAGTACGAATTTTTTTTACCCTGTTTTCATCAGGGTACGAAATTTTTTACCCTAGGAGTCAGGGTTGGCCCACCCTGGAACTCTGATTTGACAGGGTGGGCCAAAACCAATTTTGGGCCCTGGTCACTGCGCCATCGGCCCATGCGTTTGAAGAGCCGGTCAGGAACTCCGAGGCTTGCCGCCGCAGTAGCTGCGCCTTGGCGGAATGAATGAGTTCCGATGTGCGCGACATCCAGTCCAGCTTGCCTGCCGGCCGCGAGGCACCAGTTTCTGATCGTGACGTAGGATGGCGATTTGTCGTTAGGTGTTGCTTGGGAGTTCTTTGGGAAAACCCTTATCAGCGGTCTATGTGGCATGGCACCTTTGTGAGGCCTGCGATGCGTATGAATTTGCGTGTGCACCTCACCGGGCAGTATGGGCCTGGAATTGCCGCCATTGGGATCCAGACACCCCTCCCTTCCTGGTCCGTCTTGGAGTGCGGGATGAGCAACCACATTGCCTTGTCCTCAAACTGTACATCATTCCATTGGAGCGAGACGAGGTCGGAGTAGCGCAAGAATGCCGAAAACATGAGAAGAGGAATCAATCCTTTCTGGTATTCCGCAGGCCTTGATGATTCCAGGAAGGGACGAGCCATGTTGTGCACTTGATGGAGAGCGAGGCGACGGGCAAATTGATTGAGACAGGAAACCGGCACTGCGCTACCAGGCCATGTAAACCTACATTTCACACTCTTGCTAAGTCGACGATTGACGCACTCGTCGGTAATTACGTGGCTATGACACGAATGCCTGTGCTTTCAGCTATACTACTTAATATGCTATGCGGAAACTAGTGATGAATGGAGTGACAGAAATCTAGTAATGCACCCATCACCAGCTTGAAAATGAGGTTGGGCCTGCGATGGGAAACCTGTTACGAATAGTAATACCCGACATTACTATGCACTCCTCACCGTAGCAAGGAACACGCAATATCGGGAATGAACACAAGTGTCAGACGGTTGGAATTTCGTACGGTTACAGCACATCTGAACCGTCGGAAGCAAACGGCATCGGACAGCTGCAGGTAGGATGGTTTTGGCGGGAACAGTTACGAAACTGTACGCGCCGAACGGTTGGAATGTAGTTGAATAAGGGAATGTACCCCTTAGAGTACATGGCTAGCTAGGACGTTTCAGATTCCCTTGTACTCATATTTATACCGCTGTATTTGCATGTTTTCATCATCTCAAGCATTTTACATTCACTCTGCTATTGAGGTCAAGGGCCCACCAACACTACCTCACTGCGTGCGAACCTTCCAGAGTAGATCCTGGGCTACGATCAACTTCTGATCGCAGCATGGTATGAGAGCGGCTCTGGAATCCTTCGCACCGTCACTCCCGAAAATTACGACATTCGAAAGTGGCGACCGGCACACGATCGCGCACGATGATGGCCGGAGGATCTGGTGGTCAGACTAATCTGACGGCTGAAGCACAACCCAACCCGGCTGCGACAAGCGGGAACACGACGACAATCGACTCTGAAGTTCTCGCACAACTTCTTCAGCGACTCACCAGCTTGGAGCAAGGACTTAAAACATTGCGAAACGGCGATGCGGGAACTTCCTCGCAACCCTCTCAACCGGCCCCGACTGGCCAGAACACCGCCCCGCAAACATTCTCCCTCAACACCAATGGCTCAACCCCCAAGACTCCCCGTCCCAGTGAAGAGGCAATTCTCTCCGCTCAATCAAGGTTTCTCAGCATATCAAAAATAAAGACAAGTACCTGTTTTGACGGCAGAGACTTCTATACCTGGAGCTTCGAATTGGAGCTCCTGCTGCAGAACGCCCAAATTTTCCATTACTTCGACGGGAGCTACGCGGAGCCTGCTGAGGACACCGACGACGCCAAGACGAGGTATTACATCGAATCGTTGATGGCGTACGGAGTGCTCCTGCGGAATATGTCGGCGGCGGAGCAGCTCAACATTCGTTCGTACAAAACGACAGCTGCTCCAGCCCTCAACGCCTGGCGACATCTGACAAGCGTATATCATCCTAAGGACTCCGTGTCCTCGAGCCGACTACTCCAGGAACTACTGGAAACCAAGATGACCTTAGGGGAGAAGGTCAACAACTACCTTAACCGCTGTCGGAGCCTTCGCGATCAAATCGTAAAGTTGGGAAGCACGATATCGGATGAAATCTTCGTCAACATCGTGCTCCAAGGGCTCGG